CTTTTTCTTTAACCCTACCACTTTGTGACCCTGCCCGTAATTAATTCATTCTTTTCTTTGTTTCTTATCACTTCAGCATGTACCCAGCCATTATGATATTGTCCTTTTGATGATGAAGCACGGAGGCCTGACCATTTCCCTCTGTTTTTTTATTGTCTGGCAACATACTCTTTTTGTTCCCTTTCTTGTTTCTTCTCTGAATATTTATAAATCTTTTCTTGATTCCACTTGTATTTTTATGGACCTGGATTCTGCTGCATATTTTTCAGGATATACAAAGATCAGGATTTCCTGTTTACCAGTTTATGCCATTTTGCTAATGTCATCTCATTTCTTCTTCGCTGGCTTTCTGTTTCCTTGTCTACTGCTAATTTTCTACCCATGAGACACTTTCCACTAAGTTTGAATTTTCAGTAATTCTGGAGGCCACTCTGGAAGCAGGTCTGCATAAGAATGGGGCAGGAGGAGACAGAGAGGTGCTGCTTAGTCATCTGGCCAGATGTGTGTATAATCAGAATGCGTGCCTGCACATAACTGAGCTATGCTGATGTTCTTATTGCTTCACTAATAACTCTGTGCCAGGCTCTAACTGCAAAGTAAATGGCAATGAGCAAACAAGGGAGTACAAGAGACTATGACCCTGAATTAATTAGATCATGCCTGTTACTCCTGGTAACATGACAAAAGTTCCACAGGAGAATATGTAGCTCCATGTTTCATTCACAGACTGCACCTCTAGCCTGCATCTCTTCAGACACGTGTTCTGTGGACATCTTGTTCCTCACCACCCCTTCTTTCTTGCTCCTGAGACTTCAGTCAGAGCAGGGAATTATGCTCAGAGCTTGATAAGAATGCTGTCAGATCATTTGCTACAGCTGCAGCCAGCCACAAAAGGACCTAGAAATCAGGGATTACCTCTTGTTCGTTTGTTTTCTAAATCTGTCTTTTTAATCTCCATTGCTATGACACTGATGATCTCATTTTCCCTGTTGAAAATATCATCTACTCCTGTAATTAGGAGACTGCTGGTTCTGATACAGCATTTAATTTCTCAGTATCTCGGTACTATGAGGTCTGAAGTAAATTATCTGAAGAGATGTCTTCACTAGTTTGATCAAATGGTAGGTAACCTTAATTAAGTGTTAATTTAATACTCGTCTAAACAAAACGTAGTTGCAACAGACTGGAATAAGCTGCTTTCGTAACTACAAGGTTCACATATCTGTGATCTGAACCTCATTCTGACAGCATCTCCCACACCATCATAACCCTATGCCTCCCTAATGGATGCTCACACTAGCTATTTGCTCTGCTAATCTGCACGCAGTTGATCTCTGTCCTAGGAAAAGCTCACTTGAGACTTCTTTTCCTACCTGATGGTCTGCAGCAGAATCCCATGTGGCTGTCAGCTGCTTTTCCCTTTTTACTTGCACCTAAGAGCATCCTGTGCTTGTTCCTCTTGTGCACACTCAGCCTTTGCCCTGAGCCTCCCTGCTGAGCAGGTGGCATGTGTGCTGTCACACTCCTGGAGCTCAGATGACCCTGTAGCTGGCACTGATGTTTTTATTTCCACGGTACAAGGCGTAGAAACATTTTGGACCACTAGAAATGTCAGATCTTGGGGACTCTGTAGAGAAAGACGTGGGAGATCCTTGCTGCTGGGTTGGCATGACCACAGCAGCAGAGGCACAGACTGCCTCCCCTCTGAATGTGCTGTTTTGGTGATATGAAAGAAGAGAAGCATGCCCAACCACCTCATCCTGATTCAATAATTCACATGAATGTTTTGCCCAAGAACAGGTAGTTAGAAATTACCCTATTACACCACCCTTCTCTCATGATCATCTGTACTGATTCTGGACAGTGATACAAGTAATGGGATTATCACGAAACAGGGAGAGACGAGTTCATACGTGTGGTCATTCAGAAGCTGTTGAATCCATGCTTACTGCAGTAGAATAACAGGTGCTTCAGTGATATTAAGAGTAATGTTGAAGGAGGCAGGACTGATAACATAAATGATGATGGAAGGAGACATTATGGTGATATTAGCACTGAACCTGGTAATTTCATAATAAAGGACAATCACAGAGGTAGTTGTAGGAGTGATCTGGATGATCGGGTAGTGAGG